CACCATAGTTTGTAACTCTGCTTAGTTGTGACCTATTTTTGGCATCTTCCCCAGGAGCTTGCAAGCTCCATGAAGGTAGGGGCCACATTTGCTTTAGTCTGTTGTACCCCCAGAGCCAAATACAGGGCAAAACACACAAGTAGGCATTTGATAAATATTTTTGAATAAATAAAATGAGGCAAACTCAAGATGGATGGAGAAGATACTATTTTCCACTTGAGTCCTTATTACTGAAAGAGGCCATTCATGAGCTATAGAGGGAGAGGAGAAGGCACATTTTCAATAACAACAACAATAATAATAACAGCTAAGGCTTGCTGAGTACTTCCTGTGTGCCAGGTACTGCTTTGAGCCCTTGTTTATTAACTTACTTACGCTGCATTTGAACCCTGTCTAGTAGGTATTATGATTATTGCCATTTTATGAGTGAGGAAACTAAGAGGGCAATTGAGCAACTTGGTCCTAGTAACACAGCCAGGAAGGGGTAAGAGAGGTTTGGCCCAAGGAGTCTGGGTGCAGAACTTGCACACTTGGTCTTTAAGCTCTACCACTGTTCAGGGCTTGTTGCACTGCAACCTCTTTCTGTAGACTCAAACCCATTGGCTTACAAAGGACTCTCACGCCACAGCTAGGAGAAATGGTGAGAAGTGGCAGATTCCATTAAACTCCACGGTGTGGTTAAGAATCCTTTTAAAGAGTATATTGGAGTTTTCAATATTAATTAAAGACCTATTAAAGGGTTGTGTTTGATTTTACATGCAGGAGATGACATGAATTAGCTTTAGCTCCTATTTGTGCTGACAGTCAAGGGCAAAATGAGCTTTGGGGAATTAACTGTCTCTGGGTTTTAGTTCTTCTTCCAGGATAGTTGCCTCTGGTCCTCCCATAACATGAACATGTTAGTTAGAAGCCCAAGAAAGTGAAGAGACAGAGTGGGGATACAAACATAGGAGTCATATATTGAGGGATAGCTGCCAGGCAGGGGCGCAAAGGGGTGCTGCATCATGCCTGCTGGTATCATAGAGGGGCAGAAAGTGCAGGAGTTAAATGACTAGCAAATGAATAAAATGAATAAATCAGAATCTGTCATGACTTATCATGAACTATTTTGCTGCTCAAGAGGAAGATAAATTGCTTCTGTGGAAGACATTCAGCTCTGAGTCTTATTTTATTGTACCTTGAAATCTCCTGTCTGTCACAATATTACTTTCAATGAAATTAGCAACAGATGGAAGACCCGAGCTGCAAGATGACAGGCAGAGTTGCCTACACATGAAAAGAACTTGCAAAACTGGGATAATGGGAAGTTTTTTTTTTTAAGCAAACAACACACCCACAGAACAAGGGCCTCAACTAGTGAGGAAAGTTGGAGGGGTGGCTGGGGGAGCCTCGAGAATGTGGGCTTTCCTGAGAGTGAATTCCAGTTATTGGGCCATAGGCAGATGCCCTTTCTTCTTTGGCACATTGGAAGCCCTGCTGAGAGCATTGACTACAGCCCAAAGCATGGACCCTAGGACAGTGTCAGACCTGTGATCAGGTGCCACTGCTTGTTAGCTGTTTCTGTGCTCACTTCTATCCCTCCCGTCATCAAACCCAGTTCCCGTAGTTTGCTCTGGCAATCTGGCATTGATTGTGGAGTAGAAAAACAAAATCCCCTTAAAATCTAAGACATGGGTCCCCACCCCAGCTTTTGTGATGCTTGGTTAGTGGTATGGACAAGGTGCTTACTGGCTGACTTCAGTTTTCTCAGAAAAATGAGGAAGCAAAAGGGTTGTTGTTAGGCTCAAGGGGGATTACTGATGGGAAAAGAAATAAGATGTAAAGGAGATACAAGCTGTAAAGTGATACAGAGTGCTGGTTTCTGAAATGAAGACTTGTCCATAGAGAGATAATACTCTGAGGAGAAAGACACCATTGATTTCATGCTTCAGCATGTTTGTGATTGCTTAGACTAACTCATAGTTATAACAGTACCTGAAATTTCCTATGAGTGAATTAGACAAGTGTTTCCCTGAACACTCATTATAATCCCCATGGGGCTTACAAACCACAGGTCCTGGGGTCCTGGGACCATGTATCTGTATTTTTCAAAGCGTGCTGGGTATTGGCTAATGCACAGCTAGGATTGGAAAATACTGCATTAGATTTAAGAGATGTGTGACCTAATAAAGAGCACTGGACTTGAAATCATGAGCAGGGGATTTTGGCTAAAATTCTGTCACTATCTCGGTGGGGAAATTTGAAAACTTTTTAAAAAAGACTGGAAACCATTGGAGATTGCAAAATGCCCTTCCATTTGCCACAGTCTCTGGTTGTTTAATGCTAAAACAACTGGTTGTTCTATTCAATTCAGGCAACCTGGTAATTGTATCATAAAGGAAACTTGAAATTCACTCCGGTGTCCGTGAGACTGAGAGGCTCTGGATTGCCGTGCTGAAGTCCATTTTGCTATAAATCAGCTGGTCAATTTAGTCTCAAAATGATCCATTCTGTTGGCCTGGGTAATATTTTGTCATTGGAGAAGTACCTAGTATCTGATAGGAGCTCAATAAATATTGGTTGAATAACTAAATAAGCATAGTCACCATCTGTCCCAACACCATACAAGGAGGCTTTAATAATTATTCCCCATATATAGTATTACATATATCCATGTATATAATATATTTATTTTATTGCAAATACAATGTTACTTATTTGCTCTTCTAATAAGCAAGGAAATCTCTGTTGCACAGGTAGTGAGATTCAGGCTCCTAGAGGTGTTTTTTAAAAAGTATTTTATTTATTTGAGAGAAAGAGAGAGAGCACGAACAGGGGGAGGGGCAGAGGTAGAGGGAGAGTAGGCAGAGTAGGGAGCCCAATGCAGGACTCAATCCCAGGACTCCGGGATCATGAACTGAGCTGAAGGCAGACGTTTAACCGACTGAGCCACCCAAGCGCCCCATAGGCTCCTAGAGGTATTTAAGCAGAGATGCATGTGAGGGTGGTGGGGGCCAGCCTCAGATGATTTATAAGACCTCTTTCAACTCCTAACTTTTGGGATGTGAAGGTGCGTAAAGTGCCTTTGAAACTTCCATCCTGTTCTTGATGTTTGAACAATAGAACAAGGGCAGATCAAATGCCGCTGGTTCTAGTGCTGTAAATTTTCCTTTGGGATCAAGAGTCCTAGAGCTACTGTTATGAAAGATTCTAGATATTGCTTTGCATTTGGGAAAGCCTGATGTATTTGTGTGCCATTTCGAATTCTGGGCTTTTAAGATGAAATGAAGCAATCAATTAAAATGAAAATAAAAGCTCAACCTTCCTAAAGTGTTGGAGGTAGGCAAGGCTTCTAGAACTCTAAAATTTGCTTATGCACAAAGCTTGCACATGCATTCCCATGGTGCCCAGCTGAATATTTATAAAATCGTATTCTGAGATGAAGATGGTATGGAGGGAAGCAAATGATACTGTGACTTTTATAGGGCTGGCCATAGGCCAAAGATGCAAACTGATGGCCTGTGGTGATTCAGAGAGCAGATGTGTTTTGTGGAGCCCATGGTATGTTTTTTAAAAAATTGAGTGAGTTACCAACATTGAAAAATTATAAGTTTTTACATATATAAAAATATATTTCTGCTTCTCCTGAAAATCCAGAAAAATCTGTCTACACTGGGCCTACCTGCCCTCATGGCAACGTAAGGCATGGTCTGAGAAGTGGCTGGACGTATACTCCCAGCATACCCCTCCTTGGCCCTTTCTCTCATTTCTGTTATCTCCAAGCCCCCCAGAGGCATTTGCTTTGATTCCTCCTTTTGCAGATGAGGCTGTGGTTTAGGAAGAGTGTGTCCTGGTACCTAACATGGCCAGCATCCTCTTTGCCCCTTGCCCACAGCTTGAGCACAAGGAATAGGAATCTTGCTAAGACTTGTTACGCCCTGGCACTGTTTCTGCCACACAGTAGAACTCATGCAGTAGACCTCCTTGCCCTTCCCATTCCACACTTCCCACCTCCTGGTTTTTCCTCTTTTCTACCTTCTAATAAGGTAGAAATCTAGGAAATCTCTGTTGCACAGGTAGTGAGATTCAGGCTCCTAGAGGTGTTTTTTTAAAAAATATTTTTTTATTTTCTGAACTCCCCAAATCTGAACATGAAAAGGGCTGTTGTTAACTGCTCTGGGACAATTGGAACTATTGTGGATACCTGTTTCCTAGCACTGCTGTAATAAAGAATCACAAACAGGATGGCTTAAACCAAATTGTTTTCTCCCAGTTCTGGCAGCCAGAAGTCAGAAATCCAGGTGACAGCAAGATTGGCGCCTTCTGGAGGTTCTGAAGGAGAATTCCTTTCATGTCCTTCTTTGAGCTGCTGCTGATTGCTGTAATCCCTGGCATAGCTTGGCTTGGAAAGCCCCCCACTGCCGTCCCTGCCTCCATCATCACGTGGTGTTCTTCCTGTGCACCCATGTCTGTTTCTCCTTCCGATCAGGACGCTCGTCATATTGGATTATGGCCTCACTCTAACAACCTCAACGTGATTGCACTTGCAAAGACTCCATTTCCAAATAAGGTCACATTCATAGAATTCACAGACGGTTGGAACTTCAACATATCTTCTTGGGGGACACAATTCAACCCATTAGCCTCAAACTAGCTTTCTGACCTATAAAATGGAGGTAATAATAGCATCTGTTAGATACAGTTTGTGTGAAGACTGATTGACCAACATATCTAGGCCTTCACACAGTGCTTCCAACAGAAGCATGTTCAGCCTTTTACCTCCCTTGCCATATCTTTTCCCTCCTCTACTTCTCCCACTTAGGCACTCAGGTCCTTGGCTTCTTTGTCATTTCTGTTTGTTCAGTATAGAAATGTGAAACAAATAAATAATCCATATATTACCCGATTTCATTCTTTCTACCATTAATTTTGAAGGTAATATTGAAGTGCATTCTTTTAAACTAATATGTTTACTTTTGCATTGTCTCCAGGAAAGATTCAGACTCCAGAGGCATGTAAAAGCCTGCTTTATGCCCACCCACACATGGTCCCCAGGTCTCCTGTTGTGAGTGCAGCTTCAGAGGAAGAGAGTCATGGAGAAGCCAGTTCCTCCCAGACACCATCCAATCAATTCGATGAGACCCTACTGATCCTCACTGTCAGACGAGAAATTAAGAGAGCCAGAGGAGCACCCCGTGAGGCCTGGAGCAGTCCAATTTTGGCAAAGCACGTGACAAAAAAACTTATTAGATCCCACTCAGTCACTCCTTTGCACCTGGAGGCTGCAGGCACACACATCAATAGGCATGTGAGACTTCAGAACCAGCCCTCCTGCAATTCCAGGGGAGATTCTGCCCCACTTGGTAAGGATCACTTTGTGGTTCTTGTGTGTGTGTGTTTTTTTAATTAATTTATTTTAGAGAGAAAGAGAGAAAGAGCACAAGTGGGAGGAGCAGAGGGAGAGAATCTCAAGCAGACTCCACACTGAGTGCAGAGCCTGATATGACCCTGAAATCATGACCCAAGATGAAACCAAGAGTCAGACGTTTAACCGACGGCACCACCCAGGCGCCCTGACTTTGTGGTTCTTAATTCCTTGTTTCTCTCTTCAATTGGTCACATTTTGTTTTTAAATTAATATAAACAGTAAAATTACTGACTCAATGGCAGATCCTATTCTAGAAGGTTCTATAAGAGCTGTATCAGTCAGTCTTGAATGGAAGTCTACTTGTTGTCAAGTATTGTTTTGGAGGAGAGAACAAGTGTGATTTGATGACAAGTAATGTGAGATGACTCAGGTATTGCACCAGATAATAATGATGATGACAATTATTGCTATCATGATCATTCCAGCCCTCATTTAATTAGCTCTCACCATGTGCCATACAATGTACTGAGCATTTCATATTATTTTATGAAACCCTCCCATAACACCGTTAGGCAGGTAATGTCGTTATCCCCATTTTACAGGTAAGGAAACTGTGAATTCATAGCACAGAATAATGTATATGACGACAAAGTGTCTCAAAATTGCTCCTAGGAGGAATGAGTAAAAATAAGGAAATGGACCAGAAGGAATGAGCTTTGAAACCAGGGACACCAGGGCTCAAATCTCTACCTTCTCCCATTTCTGTTCAGTAGCCATGATCAGTCTTATACATGTTCTTTGAGCTCAATATTTTCATCTGCAAACTAACAACAATTAACTGCCTTGAAAAGATGTTGTAATTAGAGGATTGATATAAATGAAGTTCACTGAACACAGCAGGGACCAAACAGCAGTGGGGAAGATGGTGGTGGTGTTTATGGTGCTGTTGTTCAGACTGAGGTAAGAATATGTGAGGAAACAATGTATATTCCAGATGCTCTAGAACTGTCATGTAGAAGGATTAGATTAATTTTACATAACTTTTTTTTGGAAAATTTTGGTAGATTTCACTTCATATGTTTATGCAGTTTGTTGGAATTGACCAATAGAATAAAGAGACAGATTTTTACTCAATACAAAGGAGAATTTTCTTTGAACTAGAGGAGAATGTCCTGCTTGGACTAGAAGTGGCAAAGGAGGGGCTGGTAGACCTGCTACCAAAGATGCTCATTCAGAGATTGCTTCATTTCTGGGAAGCCAGGCTTGAGGATGGGATGCTGAGGATGCTGGTTGGTTAACTTTTTTTTTTTTTTTGTCTTACTATGTATAAGACAATGTGCTAAAATCTGAACATACATCTTCAGTTTTGATCCATATGGCCATTCTCTTAGACAAGAACTGCTATTTCCCCATGCTTTAGATGCAGAATCTGAAGCCCAGGGGGATTCTGTAACTTTAGGGCTGGAGCCAGGATTCAAGCCTTCCGTTTTGACTCCAGGTCAGAGTATACCTATACTGATTTTAAACATGACGATAACAGCTCTTGGGTATTGAGCACTTACTATTTACTAGATGCTTTACTTTTAGCATGTTCTTCTCTCAGATACTTAACTAGTTTGCTTTTTCTCTTCAAGTCTTTATTGAAATTGTCACCTACATGTGCATTATTTTTCTACTTTGGATTTATTCCCAGCTGATGCTCACTCAGTTCTTCATTTGCTTCTTTAGTCATCTACTTTCTCATCCCCACCCCCTTTCTCCACAACTAGAATTAAGCTCTGTAAGTGCAGGGACATTACTTGCTTTATGCTTCTCTGGATCTCCAGTATCTAGAATACTGGCAGACATACAACAGACAAATCTTAATGAATGAATAAATGAATGAACAAACTTAATCCTATTAGTGACCTTGTGAAGTAAGTAATACAATCCTCATGGTTCAGGTAAGGACAAAGAGGCTTAGGCCAGGTGATGTGCCAGGATTTGAATCTATGATGGTCTGACACCAAAGCCTTGTTGATTCCATTACACCACACTCCCTAAGAGAGTGTTACAAAATGCATCATTACCGAATTGCATTCAGGGAAGGAATTCCTATTCTTTGCTTATGACAGAGCCTTGACCTGTCTTGACCTGTCTAGGTTACATTCTGTTGCTCCAAATTCCAGAACCACATCCATGTTCTCTTATGGAATTCCCTTGCACTGATTATTGATAGCAATGAATTGGTTATCTGCCATGGCTGCAAATCCAAATCAACAAATATCTATTAAGCATCTAGTTTTCAGAAAGTTAGTGTGTTTGGCATTCTGAAAGGTTTTACTTACTTGGAGATATTGAAATGCCATTCCACCTTTATTTCCAGGAAATAATTCTTATACTGAAAAATGAAAGTCACTAAGAGTTTTTCAGTGTTTGATTTGGGTATGTTGAGTATGTTGGGTATGTTGAGTGTGTAGTGGGAGATGCCCGATACATACCAGGACAGTATGTAATGAGCTAATTGAATTGCCTGGATATAGACTGGCTGTTTGACACCCGCCATAAGGAAGGTACCGTGCATATTTTTTGAAATGTGAATGCTCTTGTAGATTGCTCCAAATATTCTATATATCTACATGCTATTCAAAGCCCTTTAAAACTTGTGGAAAGTGATTTAAGGCACATAAATTTTCTTAATTTACTACTGAAGAATTAGACTTTATGTAGGTCAATGGGTATAATTTCTCAGGGAAAAACTATACATAAGGAGATAAATATATATATATATATACATATATATATTCTTTTACAGTATTGACCATATTGTAAAAAATCTCAACTTTTACATAAAAATTATTTGACTGGGCAAATAAAGAAAAACATCAAATTGATTATTAGTATTAGTGTGTATGTATGTATTGGGTAGATCTGGATCAGATTAATTCCCTGATTGTTTTAATTTTCAGCTGGTTGAATTTGTAATAAAAACTTGGGTGTTTAAATTATCAGTTGGAAGTCTACATGGGCTGTGGATCCATTTGCTTTGCCCACTCTCTAATTCCACTTTATTTTCCACTCAAATTTTTCCCTGGTTTAGAATCTGTGGCCCTATTTTCGTCACCAATTCTTCTGTTTCCCTCTCTTGAGCCATTTTGAACAGCTTTCCTTGACATGAAAAGTATTATGAGGGTCTGTAAAAATGATTTTTTGGAGAGGGTGCTTTTAAACAACAGGAAGGGAATAGATAGCTTTTTATTTTCTTAAGGCAATGCCAGGGAAGCAGGCAAGGGGAATGTCCGGGGCTTCTCTCTCTCTCTCTCTCAGCACATTGCAAATGTTGATTTCTCACACATCCAGTTATCAGCAGAGATTTTCTGAAAGTCGTGGCAGGGCGGGTGAATTCCGCACACTTCAGGGCCCCTCCTCCCTTGTCTGCCTTCCAGGTCCCGCTGCGAGGCCTTCCACCGCCATCGGCCTCTGCAGGAAAAGCCAGACCCCTTTGGCCTCGTCGGAGGTCCCCCGGAGTTCCTCGCAGCCAGAGCGGGAGGACAGGAAGGCAGCCCCAGTAGGCGCTCAGGCGGACCCCCATCGCCAAAGCCGGCCCCGGGGCGCGCCCCTAAGTCCGGCTGGAGGAGGCGCAGTTGCCATGGCACCGGAGATGCTCCCCAAGCATCCTCATCCCCCGGGGAAAAGGGGGCCCAGGGTGGACGCCTCCCTCCACGGCAATCTGGCAGGAGCGTCCCTTCCTCTGCTCGCCGGTGCTCCCACCCATCTCCCCTCAAAGAGGTTAATCAAGGTTTGCTCTTCTCCCCCCGCCCGCCCACGCCAGCGTTTCCATACGGTTTGTTCACAGGCCCCTCCTAGGCCGGGGGTGAATGCTCACTTACATGGACCGCTGTGAGGGAATTGTCTGCGGGTGCTGCCCATCTTCAAATCAATGCCTGCCCAGGACAACAGAAAAGGCCTCAGATGTACTGGTTTCCACAGAACCATTGTTAGGCTTTTGTGAAGCAGTTTTGAACCTAATAAATAATGTCAAAAGTCTCTATCGCAGCCAAAAATGTTCCTTTTGAAGCATTTCTAATAGTATTTTTGTTCTGCGGTGTCTCCCAGTGTCACAAAGAATTTGTGTCTCACAATGGGGATGGGGTACATCGCGTGCCACTTCGCAATGTGCCTGTGGGGATCGGACCCCTTTTTGTTTTGCTCTCACAGGTAAACGGTTTCATTTGCCAACTTGAGCTTTGGTTTAAGGATGTTTTCTAAGGGCCTTTTGAATCTCTAAACAGAGGTTTGGAAAACATAATTGAATGTCTGTAATTTAATAGTTACCATGAAATTTGATTACTCCTGATGTGCCTAGGGGAATTCTTCAGACTATATTAGGGTTTTTATGTCAGAAACCTGAAGCTGGATCCTCCTTTGAGGTCCTGAAACACTTGGAACTCATTTTAATGCAAAAGAGATACTGAGTTTTCTTATTTTGGAATAAAAAAAAACAACAACAAAACAAAACACTGGAGAACCTTAGGTAACATTCTATCAAATTGGTCATTTTAGGCAATATTTTTTACTTCAGTTAATGTAGGTTCAACAGCAGCTTTTTACCATGATTTAATGCAGAGACTAATTTTAACAAATGATCTTATGTGTTTTTAGTGTAGTATTCTTTTTTTCAGCTTTGAAAGAGAAACACAGATCAACGAAACCAATACATCCATGTGTAATTTTTCATTCAAGTTCCTTGCAATTTTTCCCCCAGGCTTGGATCCAGAAAGTCCGATAAAGGGTGTTTATAAATCCTACTGCATTTTTCCCCATTCAGTTCAAATTAATATATACAGCATGCCCATATTCAAGACTTACCAGCAAGTCTACAAGTCCAAATTTAAGTCTCAAAGTTTTAATAGGAATGAAATGTTTTAACTAGTAACTGCTTAACATTTAGAAGTCTGTTTAGTCCTTTGAGGATGATTTGATTTCTTAGCATTCCCTAGGGGGTAATGCACTTTAAAGAATAACAACAACAAAAGATCCCCAAGCTTTAGAGCATTCCTTCCTCCAGACTATGATTTTATAATAAATATGTTTTTATTATTTATTTATTAACATGATTTTATTGTAAGAGAACAAACAGGTTATCAGGGGTGGTTCTATAGTTCCCTGAGGGGATGGTGGCATCTGAACACTGGTGTCCACATGACAATCCTAAGTTCAACTTCATGCCATTTGGTTGGAGAGAAATGTGTGGGTAAACTCATGGCTTTATGTGAAATTTTGATGCCGGGATATTTTAATTTGCTATAATTATGAGTTAGCACGACTGATATTTTTTCAGTTACCGAACCTATTGCTTTGCTTGAAGTGATTCTAAAACAACTAACCAGAAATCTGTAGTGGTCAATTGCAGGAGGGGGAAATGTTTTTAATATAGTAAATAGATTCTCTCATCTGTAGAAGTGCAAAATCCTGAATTTACTAAAAATACAATAGAGAAGAAGTAATTCTATTCATAATTGAGAAAGGGAATGCAAGCAAAAGATGTGAAATATGTGACATACCATATTTTATCTTTTTTTTTTTTAAAGATTTTATTTATTTATTTGACAGAGAGAGACACAGTGAGAGCAGGAACACAAGCAGGGGGAATGGGAGAGGGAGAAGCAGGCTTCTTGCCGAGCAGGGAGCCCGATGTGGGACTCGATCCCAGGACCCTGGGATCGTGACCTGAGCCGAAGGCAGACGCTTAATGACTGAGCCACCCAGGCGCCCCATATTTTATCTTTTTTAAAAATTTATTTTTTAGAGAGAAAGCGTGTGGCGGGGGGTGGGGTGGGCAGGGTCAGAGGAAGAGAGAATCTTAAGCAGGCTCCAGCACAGCGTGGAGCCCATCCTGGACCCTGAGATCATGACATGAGCCAAAATCAAGAGTCAGATGCTTAACCCACACAGGCACCCCGATATACCGTATTTTAAAGCAGGTTCCCAAAGTGTGTTCCTTGGAACATTGGAATTAAAAGACACTCTGTGAGATGGGGAGTCTATAGATAGATATGTCTGAGGGATGTGGTCCGGCAAACTCCCTCTTAGAGAGTCACAGTAACATATTAAGAATCCCCAGAAATTACATGATAAAAAATCTGATAAACCCTGTTTAGCTTAGTGTTTTTCAATTTTATTTGATCAGGAAATCTTGATTTATTTATCTTTATAATCTTGATTTATTTATGTGTTTGTGGGTGTGTGTAAAGACACACACAGACACACACATATTTTAAAAAATAGCACCTGTCTGTAGCACTAGTGTCCTATGGAACACATGTGAGAAAACTTCACTCCAGCTCTATTCTAAATATACCAGAATTCATGTAAACTGGTAGGGTTCAAAGGAAGGATTACTTTTCAAAGGTAGTGAAGAAAGAATCAGAGCTAAAGAAAGCAACCCTTAATAAATACCTCCAGGACCCCATTCTTCCTTGGAGGAATGTAACTAGCTGTTCTGGTTATTTTTTCTCATTTTGGGTGCACCTGATTGGGAGAAGGTTAGTCAGTCCAGCCATGACCATGTGTTTTTTTTTTTTTTT